TAATCTAAAATGACTGAAAATTGCAAACTTCGCAAGGCTATATTATCCGCATTTTACAACATTTCGCAACGAAACTTCGGAATATTACTAATTTTGTGATGCTCTTTCAAGCTGTGATGAAATTTTTGTCTAGACTTGTTTAGATAAAAATTTAGTCTATTACGCAAATGGTCAATTGATAAGCTTTCAACACTGAACCAGGATGGGGGAGGTTAAAAAATGCTGTTTTTGCACGTATGCACGGCATGGATAAGGCAAGTGGGCAAGGCGCGCGCTGTCCACAATAATGTTTGCCAAGATTGTAGCTTAACCGATTAAACGGCAATGCGCATTTATTACACACGATTTTACTCATCAACGAGAGAGCGTTGGGAATTAAATGATCAATGAGATTATCTAAATACACACTATATATGCAGTACCATAGAATGAGGAATCACTTATCTTGTGGCAATACTAAACTCTAGGAATCCTTGATTAAGTTCAACCAAAAAGGCAAAAAGTTGTTTAATTTTGGAAAATTATTTTATATTGTAATATTAACTTCTTTACTTTTCTTACCTGAACGCCTTTCTGTCCTCTAGTACCTATCTTACCATACACGCCAGGTAAACCCTAGAAAACATATCAAGATTGGCAATTTGATGCCAAATACATCCCTGCGGTTCAATACACACCACCATGGCGGCATGCAGCTCAACCCAGTGACGTAGCTAGGATTTCTAGTCAAGGGAGCCGAAACAATCACAGGAGGGACGGAAGCAATTTCACCCTACGCTAGTTCTTTGTGTTTCTGAAACCGATTCCGGTGCAGCGCTCTATTAACCAACTGAGCTACATGCAGAGTCCAGCTCTAAGCAGCTATTTTCAGTTTTAGATTTTTGTGATTGTGAATCATCATTTAACACGTATTAACAACTCTACCTGATCACAAACCAGTCCAAAACATAGCAAGATAAAAAAATGTTCATTACAAGAAATTAAAATATAATGTCGATTCTTTGTACTGATCAGAATTTTTCCAAGGAGCCCCCACAATCTCGCCAGGGGGGAGCTCTGGCTACGTCACTGCCTCTACCCGCGCGGCTTTTTTTATGAGAAAACGTGCATCTCTGCAAAAATGTTTAACCAGTTAATATTACTAGCATAGGCCATATATATAGACACTTACATCAAGTGCAGGTTCTCCAGCACCCCCCATTTTCCCTGGAGGTCCAAGATCACCCTTAACAAACAAGAAATTGAAACCTTTAGTTCATAAGTCCTCACAAGGACAAATAGTATAGGAATAATCTTGATAAAAATATCTTGATACAATGCTATCAACAAAAAGGCAACCATTGTTAAATGGCAGGTATTAAAGGCATTTCCATTGATACAATTTGGTTGGGGATTGGGAAAAGAATTAAACTAGCTACAAAATTAAAACCGACTCGACAGAGTGATACAGCAAATAAAAAAGAATGAATATTACAAAATTCAACCTCCTAGGTAGAATTATCAGATGTACCATAAATCCTCCATTATAAGTCCCCCTCTCCAATAAGGCCCCTTTCTAATAAGTCCCTTTCCAATTTGGGGGAAAAGATATTTATTAAGTCCACCCTCTAATAAGCCCCTTGACAAATAAACATATACCAAGTATCTAAGTTTTTCATGGCTTTTCATTAAACGAAAAATTCAACTACTCAAATATAGCGGTCAAAAAATTAAACGGGCGACTATCGCAAGTGAAAACTACTTTTTAATGTTTCTATTTCAATCTGTTTTTATTTCAATCGAATTGTTTGTATTGTCATTTAACGTTTGGCATGTAAAACAAAACACCAGTTTCCTTGGGAGAGCAACGTGTTTTGGGCTTCTCGAGGCCTGGACCCATTCCTCCGTGCAACAACGGCCGTCTCAAGTCACTGTTTGATAAATAGTTGTTACACATTAGACATGTTTTCTCTCCCTACTCCGTTTTACATAAACGAATGTAATCTTAAAATGGATTATATTCGACACTTCAGTCTAGTGTCTTCATCAGAAATGATATAAAGTCGCAACACGTAAGAAATGATATAAAGTCGCATCTCCTTGTTCTCAAGGGATGACGTCATCGGCCAACAAAGCGAACATCATTCATATTTATGAGTATTTATAAGAGTTTTCCCAAATATACAAGAATGGCCGTTGCGACCTCTGATAAAGACACTAGATTGAAGTGTCGTGATGTTGTGTCGTGAATGCAGTTCGATCAGTGATTGTATTCATTTACTTAAACCAGAGTAACAAGGAAACCATAACTGATAGTACAGCTGTTTACCATGAACGGTATAGACTCACAAACGCCAAAAAGTGTTATCATTGTTTTCTACCTACATCTATTCCAGGTGTTCCTGATGTTCCCCTATCTCCATTTTCTCCCTTTGATCCCTAAAAGACAAATATACATCATTAGTTAGCCTGTTGTGTAGCCTGCGAATAGCATCGTACGAAAACATATCGTATTTCTTTGTCATCTGAGCAGTAGAAACTGAATGAAATCGACACAAAAGAAAATCTTGGACTGTCTAATGGATGAAAACACAGTTGGACTGTCTAATGGACGATTGCCTAAAACTGTACTGTACTTCAAGTAAAAAGAACACTAGAACAGTATATATTGTATACTTGTTACCGGACAGGACCACAGCCACCAATTTCGAAGTGGTCCTGTTGTGCGGGGAAAATTCTTGTCCCAAAGACGCGAGAAACATCTATGTGGTCCCGTTTATTTCTAATACTCTGGGACACTATTTCCTGCATTTTGTGGAGAGTTTTAAGAATTTCAAGGTTATGATAACCGTAATGTTACTCTTATAATATTATAGCCCTATATAGGAATCTAGCTTAATAATAATAATAAACTCCAATAACCTCTATTAAAGCTATTAATTCTAGCTACAATATAGCCTGCTACGCAAGGCTAGCTATAATTATGACGTAAAAAGTCAAAACATCAGGGGGAAAATTCGCTGTGCAGCTCCGGAATCGGACCAACCGTACTGGTGGCTACGGTGTGTATATGACTATTCGGTGAACTTTATTCAAGAGTAAATAAAAGAAAATAAATTTTACTTTTGCGCCTTTTTCACCTTCTTGACCATGTTCACCAACAGGACCAGGTATACCCTATAAGAATAAAGTTTTAGTTAATAATATCCAAACTTTGCATGGGTTTATGCAAATCGTAGGAACATATCTAACACAATTCAGAGAGCTCCGCTCAACCACGTATACCTTTTGTAAACAATACCTAGACGATGCAAAACTGGCTTGTAAGACTCTGAACAAGTCTTATTTCTTTTGACAGTTATATCGTTATTACGTTTAAATCAACCATGTAAATCTCCGTGTTTGTAAAATCATTCCATGTTCCACAAAGGTAATTACAGGTTTAGTACCTTCTTATTGTATAGCGCTAGGGCTAAACGGATGAGACTTTAATTGCTAAGCCTAAACGGGTGGCCGAGTTCGTCAAGACAAGTGATCAATCTCCCGTATATATAATTCTAGCGAATCTAACTGGTATAACTAATGCAGCCAGGGGCGTATAGGAAGCAGGGTGGCTGGGGTGGCCGCGGTGCCCCCCCAATATTTGATAAAGTGGGGGCAGAATAGCTTTTAAGAAAAATTACCCCGATCAGCCAATTAATAATAATAATAATAATACATCCTGACCCATGGATAGCAAAGACTCACAATTCATGATAGAATTCGAATCAATGAAAGCGCCTAACGAAAGAAGTAAAGAAATTCCCTTGTGGTGTCAAACAAATTCTTGGAATTCCCCCCCCCCCTCCCCTGCTAAGCTTATCAAGCTTCTTGCGCCCTGAATGCAGCAGTTGACGATAATTGTAGTTTGGGTCCTGAGGCCGATTACACTGTGGTAGGGTTATTCTTATTTTACGAAACGTGGTATTGATCTATTGATATATTGCGTTCACTCTTTACCTTTTCACCCTGTTCTCCTTCTTCCCCAGGAAATCCCTTATCACCTATTTCTCCCTAGAAATAAAAAAAGATAACACCAGCTAATTAATGGAAAACTTTTAAACACAATGCAAAAAGAAAGTAATTATGCAGATTCTAAATGAATTTTAGACAACCAATTTATTGATTATTTTAACCATTTTTTATGGTCCAAGAAATACTTTTTACTTTCTTTTAAAAAAAATATGAAGTTACAGAATCATCATTAGAGAAAAAATATTTGGAGAAATTTCCATACAGCTTACAATTATTTAGCCATATCAGTGAATATTACATACACAGGGTGGGGTCTTATATTTTCCAGCGCTTCTTGACTAGGGGTTAATTAGAAGGAGAGGACTAAAAGAGACTGGATGCAACTGCGGGCTGAATAGAGGAAACACGGTACTTCGGTTGTCACATGGAAGCATGCATATATATAAGTTTCATTAGCTAAATCTATCAGTTAATGAAATACGAGGGTGTTTCCTCACTCTTTCGCAAAGTACCGAAAACGCAAACTGGTCAGAAAATACTTCATTTCAAAAACTTTAATCTTCCAACTGCAATCTCCTACCCAGGGCATCTGAGCCATATCTTTATAGTTCGACAAAAAGGTTCAAACTAACTTGTTGTTAACGTTTATATATACTAGAGATATTTTTGTTAGTGAAATCAATCTCTCGTTATTTTGACACGAAAGCGCTTCACCTTGTCCCCAGAGGCTCCAGGTGTTCCAGCTCTTCCTAGAGATCCTAGAAATCCCTAAACAAAAACAACTACCAAGATTTAAACTCTAGATGCTATATTTCTATAAATTTTGATTGTTTGTGAAAAAATGTTCACCTCCGGTCCACGAGAACCAGGTTCACCGGGTAAAGTACCTGTACCAGCTGTACCCTGCAAGTCGAAAAAAAAATAAGCAATTAAGTTCTAACAGTATTTAAATTTGTACCAGTTTTGCTGACAAAACCACTTGAAAATTGAAGATATAATATCACCAAAATAAAGGCCACCTTCGTTTCGTATGCAAATTGCTCATTTCATCAGGGCAGGAAAAAAGTATTTTTGTGCTAAATCTGCATGTGCATAAACATATAGTGTTCTAGCTGACCATGGTTTTAAATTCAAGGAATAATGTCTGCCAACTATATGTTGTTGCGCCCATAGTGGGACATGGGTGTTCCTGCTCGCTGTGCTCACGTGCTCGCTTATTTATTATTATTATTATTATTATTATTTTCATATTTATCCAGGATACCCACATCACCGGTGTTTTTCAGTGGGGTCCACCCTGCATTTCATACACTCTGGTTAACATTTCTGATCAAAAACTCACTGGTTAAAATTTTCTGATTAAACCTAGAAATTAGGGATGGGCGATACCAGCTTTTTCATTCGATACGATATTAATTTACTCGATATTTCCCCTTTTTTTCGATATCGATATTTTCCCAACTCGAACAACCACAACAACAAAAGACTATTTTCATCATTTCGACGCCAAAATCATGCTGGTTGACAACCTCGCAAGCCAGGGTTTTTATGACGCTTGAGGCGAGGAAAAAAACCCTGGCTTGCGAGGTTGGCTGGTTGAATACGTTTTCAACACGTTTATTTTCATGATTGTAACTAACATAACCACAAACTCTGATCCTGCCTGTGGACCATGAAGCACCATAGAAAATGAATTACGTTTATAGTATTTACGCCTATTTAGGCTTTTTGGTATCATTTTCATGAGTCCGCTGACCAAAATGAAAAGAATATCGCAGGCTCAGAAGTTCGAAACAATCGATATTTCTTCCCAGTATCGATACTTTTCTTCAAAACCCGGGTATCGATAGTATACTAGAAACAGCACTATAGAATAGCTTAAACTTCAGACTATGTAATTAGGTGGATTATTATCCATCTGACATAATCTCATGATTCCTGGTTACATTAACCAAATTATGGTAGAAAGTGAGATAAAGTGTTTTTAGAGTGTATGATATGATGTATCACAAAACATCTTTCATGGCATTTTTCTGTCATTCACGCATATACTTAAATATAAAATGCACATACAAGAGATGTAAAACGGAATTATAAAAAATAAGAAAAATGCATGTGAAGTCAAAATTATTATGAGATGATCAACTGCACAAGAATGCCACTGAACAATGTACGCGAATTATTCGTAGTTATAAATTACCTTTTGTCCACGCTCACCCCTTGGTCCGACTGAGCCTGGAGGGCCAGGATGACCCTAAAATAAAGATTACTTACATGGCGAGATTTGCCTTGGTATACTGAAAACTACAAAAACTATTAGACGAAAAAGAAGCGGAAATCATTGACTATAAACGAGCTACAACGTTTTCAACGATTATTTTAAAGAGAAAGATAAATTTTAAGCGAACCTCAAGAAAAAGAGGTAATTGCCGAAGTCCCAAAAACCATTTTCCATAGGTCCTCTTATATACGCATAATAAAATAATTATTGGATTTGGATATATCGAGAATTATCAAGGCCTCGCTGTCTGTGTTATCTGCTTCAGTCTATGGCTTCGCAGATAACACAACCTCCGCTGCCTTGATAATTCTCGATATGATGATTCGCAACCTCGTCCAATAATTATTAAACATATTACTTGAAGATGTTAGGAAGAACGCTGTTCAAAACGTAACAGCGGTATCTGCATCACAATATTGTGGGCATTCAAAAAATCAGGACTCATTATTTAGTGCCTGCAAGCAAAATTCATAACTTCAAAATGTGCCTCCAAAAATGTATCGTATTTTAGGTTCTGAGAACTAAATATTATTTATTAAGATGTCAAGATTTTATTGAGATTTTAAAATGTGCCAGCGCAAATTCAAAAGGTGACGGCTAGTGCTGTGCAAACTCCGGTTTTTCATCTCCGGCTCCGGCTCCGGCCGAATTACAGCTCTGAGCTCCGGCTCCGGCCACATCATAAAATATTAAATAAATGTTTTACGATCAGAGAACATTTATTAATATTATTATGAATAACCCTTTTCGTGCTTCCTAATTATCAGATAACATAACTCAGGAAACAAAACAGTGAAAGCACATAACCACGCAGAAAATATCTATATGGAAACCAGCCTCGAAAAATCTTTGACACGAGGCATGACGCTAACACTCTCAGACTCCACAGCGCAATTGTTCGCACGCAAACAAAGTACTCTGTCATTTTCAAAAGGTTGATATTTATTTGTTTTGTACTTTTTCGTTATCTACAAGGCATGAAATACACAGACTACAGTATGTAGCGCTAAGTCAGATGGCTTCATGAAAGCATGACGTTTGTAAGTTGCGATCGTATTACAGCTTTTCGACGCTGTTCCTGTGGGCTGTGGCAGTTTGAGTCTATGATGAATTCATTAACAGCAATTGGCAGTTTGCAGTAACTAACAATCGTTTGGCATTTGTCTCATTTCATATTGTTTTCTTGTCATTTTGCCGAAGCTGGGAAAACGTAACTCCGGCTCCGGGCTTCGGCATACAAAATTCTGCTCCGGCTCCGGCGTCGGAAAAACTGCCGGAGCTCCGGCAAAAAAACGAGGTGCTGTTTTCCGTTGTTTTTTTCTCATGAATTATTAATGAATTTGAGCAAAAATCTCACCCCTCCACCGTTTAATCCTCCTATACCGGGTAGTCCTGCATCACCTTCAGGACCCTACAATGACAAGACACGATTAGTTTAAAATCATAAAATGAAATATGTATACGATATAAGTATAGCAAAAGATAGATAGAAAGACATAAATAACTTAACACTGATAAAAAATCATATGATATCTCACTATTATTTTGCACCTTTGGTCCCGGCAATCCGTCCAATCCAGGTAATCCTACCGTCCCAGCTTCAGCCTGAAAACGAATTAAAAAAACTTTTATGACTTACTCTTAATCAAAAACGTTTTTGAAAATAATTTTGAAACAAATAATAGCGATATTACATTTATAAATGGAATATCGCTATCATTTGTTTCAAAATTATTTAATGACTTAACGATCCACGGAGTGTTAAGTAGCTGGAACTATATGCAACTTCAAAAAATCCGCGTTGTATACCACTAAAGAAGAGCGCGCTAATTTTTTCCAAAAATATTGATTAATTCTTGAAGTTTGCAGTTTGCCTGGCAGTTAAAATAAGTTGTGTATTAGGATTGTAACGAAATTTAAAGTGAGCTGATACTGATCGTGTCTGTTTGTTTTATGATTTTCCAAGCTTAACGTTTGCGCTAATAGTCAACTAAAATCCAAGTTACCAAACACAGACGTTTATACATGATATATTTATGTTGTGTTATTCTCTAAATGCATTTGTCATTACCGCTACATTAGTTGCAGTGCAATCTTGATATGTGCTTGCGATCTACGAGTACAAAGTATTCGTTGCCCGCTCCAGCTCTAAGAAAAATATGCGGACTTCATATTGGAACTGAACAGAAGTAATTGTATTATGTTTTTGTCGGAGTTTATGTTAATTTGTGCATGGTCACGGTGATTGAGCTCATTGTATTTTCGTAGAATGAAGTAATCTCCATAATAAGGATAGCTGAGATGAAAGTGCAATCATGATGAATAATATTTAAAGTGCCTATGACACGAAATTTCACCCCAAATGTTTATGGTTGTATTGTAAAGATCACTTAAAATGACTTAATAACTTCTTTTATATAATTTTGGTAAATTGCTCCCTTTGCAAGATATTCAACTTTGTTTCATATGCAAATATCACCGGTGTGACATCACATCGCATAATGAGTTTTCAGAAAAGTATAGTTTTCTTGACGAATACGTATCTAAAAAACTTAAAAATTGCCCTTGTATTTCATTTCATAACTGGTAATTAATCTTCTGTTTTTGTGTGTAAAAATATTCTATCAATGTAAAATATTGCGTTTTCAAAATATCATTATGCGATGCGATGTCACACCGGTGATATTTGCATATGAAACAAAGTAATTGAATATCTTGCGAAGGAAAGCAAGTTACCAAAATTCTATAAACGAAGTTATTAAGTCATTTTAAGTGATCTTTACAATACAACGATAAACATTTGGGGTGAAATTTCATGAAGTTGAGACAAAGGATTTGTGCCCGGTGAGATACAGTTCAACATCAAACAAAGGTCTTCTATTTTATTTTTGTGGCTTTGAAGTTTGTCGAGCTTCCAGACCATCATATCTTGACAGACTATGGTTTAAATAAACTCATCTTAGTGTATGTTTCATCCAAACTCAAAGTGGGCGAGGCAATTTAACGTTCCGGATTTTACCCAATTTTGGAAGAGACATTTGTATTACAGTTCCATTCAAAGTATTGCATCAAAACGCTAAATAGCATATTATATTGGGGGGTCTAAATTGGGGGGGGGGGGTCTGGAAATCATTAAACGGTACAAATTTTGGTATTTTAACGGTAACAATAAGTAACATTTTGGTATTTTAACGGTAAATCTTTGAAAAGTGTTCTGAAACGATAAACAATATTTTTTCCTCACGATTCACGGTAAATTTTTAGTGTTTTCACGACTGACAGTAACCGAAATTGAGTGAAACACGACTCACGATATACCCCATCAACACCCTCATATTGGGGAACACTATGGGATTAAATTTTTTTTAATCTTCTATAAGTGTAGTTAATCCCATTTTGCGCTTTCTATAGTAATTTCTATTTTAGTTAACTGGTAAGAAATAAGAAGTGGTGATATGTTATATGTATAACACACTATAGCTTGTGCGATAGGTCTATTATTTTTTATAATGGCCAGCCACGCAGATTAGGATAACATCCGTTGAGGCCGACTCACGGATAAGATCAAATGAAAGTGACAGAAAGAATTAGAGCAGTTTGCAGTTGTTTTTGCAAACCGGGCACAGTAAGAATTTTGCCATTTCACCCATTTGTTTGTCGTGCTTCTTTTTGCCAAATCAAAAGAACGAAAGCGTGCTCCAGCCCTTTTTCCGGTTCTGAAAGACCCGATTTGCAGGCAAACAGTGCGCGCAAAGCAGATTGGTCATTTTCCATTGTTAACTGTCCCACACTCACCCCACACTCACCCCACACTCACCCCACACTCACCCCACACTCACCCCACACTCACCCCACACTCAAGTAACCACAAAGACTCACAGATGTTGCTTCGCACCATCCGTGATTCAACCATCGAATTGACTTTACTTGCTATGTTTAATTTTACGTACCTGAAATCCTGCTGGGCCAAGACCTCCTGATCGACCTTCTGTCCCAGGCATTCCCTTCCAAATTAACACAGTAATCACATGTTGCTTTGTTGGATTGATAATATTGTACATAATAATTTATATTCAATACACCCTTTCGATAATTACGTCACAAATCCCTCATTCGCCAGGAAGCCTCAATTCTTATTAATCGTGAGCCAATCGTATTTATTCATGAAAGCGAGGCTCCCAGGCCAACGACGTCATTATGACGTCATTGTCTTTTTATGCAGTATTCATTCAATTTTGAAATGGTATTGTTTGATGAGGAATCACTTGTAATGCAAGGAATCGTGAAAGAATCGCATTGTACGTATGTAGGTGAAGGAGTCGCATTTGTCTGACTGAATAATAAAATTCTCATATGTTATTGATTGAATTTGAGAAGGATTTAAACCTAGAAACATTACACAGCTATTTGTATCCAACACTGATCTAGTTTGTACTCACATCTCTCCCAGGGTCCCCTGGTGTCCCGGGTTTTCCTGGATCACCCATCGCTCCCTAAAGAAACACCAGAAATTAAGCTTGTGTTTTTCCATTCACAAGGAAAGCAAAATGAAGGATAAAAAGGTACTCTACTTAGAAAATCACATTGGAAATTCTACCTTGTCACCTTTCGTTCCATCTGCGCCAGCCTGTCCTTGTCCTCCAGGGTTGCCCTGAAAATAACGATTTTAGTTTTAATCTTTGCTTTATCTCGTTAATAAAGGGTATTGACGATGAAATTTAAGTTTGTCCATACTCCAGGTAGAAAGAAATCTTTGCATTGTATAATAAGTCATTTAGCAAAATTTTCATGCTCTTTCTTTGAACTAGCCTGCTCACAGACGTTGCAGTTCTTAGCTAGAGACTTAGTCTAGCCCTCATTATAGTATATCAAAATACAATGAGATTAGGGTACCTTAGGCTGTACTAGGGTACATTAGTCTACCTTCGGGTACCTTGGAGCACCTTAGGGTACCTTGTAGTACTTTAGGGTACCTTGGCCTCACTTAGGGTACCTTGGCCTACCTTAGGCTACCTTGACCTACCTTAGGCTACCTTGGCCTCCCTTAGGGTACCTTGGCCTACCTTAGGGTACCTTGGCCTACCTTAGCGTACCTTGACCTACCTTAGGGTACCTTGGCCTCCCTTAGGGTACCTTGGCCTACCTTAGGGTACCTTGGCCTACCTTAGCGTACCTTGGCCTACCTTAGGGTACCTTGGCCTACCTTAGGGTACCTTGGCCTACCTTAGGGTACCTTGGCCTACCTTAGGGTACCTTGGCCTACCTTAGGGTACCGTGGCCTACCATAGCGTACCTTGACCTACCTTAGGGTACCTTGGCCTCCCTTAGGCTACCTTGGCCTCCCTTAGGGTACCTTGGCCTACCTTAGGGTACCTTGGCCTCCCTTAAGGTACCTTGGCCTCGCTTGGGGTACCTTGACCTCCCTTAGGCTACCTTGGCCTACCTTAGGGTACCTTGACCTCCCTTAGGGTACCTTGGCCTCCCTTAGGCTACCTTGGCCTACCTTAGGGTACCTTAGCCTACCTTAGGGTACCTTGGCCTCCCTTAGGGTACCTTGACCTCCCTTAGGCTACCTTCGACCCCCTTAGAGTACCTTGACCTCCTTTAAGCTACCTTGGCCTCCCTTAGGGTACCTTGACCTCCCTTAGGCTACCTTGGCCTACTTTAGGGTACCTTGACCTCTCTTAGGGTACCTTGGCCTCCCTTAGGCTACCTTGGCTTACCTTAGGGTACCTTGGCCTACCTTAGGGTACCTTGGCCTTCCTTAGGGTACCTTGGCCTCCCTTAGGGTACCTTGACCTCCCTTAGGCTACCTTCGCCTCCCTTAGAGTACCTTGACGTCCCTTAAGCTACCTTGGCCTCTCTTAGGGTACCTTGACCTCCCTTAGGCTACCTTGGCCTACCTTAGGGTACCTTGACCTCCCTTAGGGTACCTTGGCCTCCCTTAGGCTACCTTGGCCTACCTTAGGGTACCTTAGCCTACCTTAGGGTACCTTGGCCTCCCTTAGGGTACCTTGACCTCCCTTAGGCTACCTTCGACCCCCTT